CATCTCACTTTAAGCGGGGGTGTTAGCACGTTAGTGAATAACTCATTTCAAAGTCTTCAAACTCTCGGACTTACAACACTTACCATTAACGATGTAAAAAATTTACATAGAACAGAGCTAGATGCCTTCCAACATTTACTTAATCTCCAGTCGCTAAGAATTTCTGCAACAGAACAAGGTATAGAAGTCACATTACGAAGCTTGTACCCGTTTCGAAATCGTTCCTTGAAGACTCTGTACTTTCATGATATTAGCAAATCTCAATTCATCGGCGGGGCTTCTAAGTGTTCGGATAGTGTGATAGACGCTTTCAAGGCGGAATTTTTGTCCCAAATATGTGTGGAAAATTTCTACTTAATGAACAGTGAGGTGTTTGTTGTGGAGGGTAACACACTGACTGGACCTCTGTGGCAAAAATGTCTCCAGACTTTGGATGTGTCAAATAATCCTCTGATCGGAGATCGGATTACCCTTTGGCAATTTCAGAGATTTAAAGCTATCAAAGTTTTCAATGCAGCGAATCGAAAAGACACAGCATTCACGTTACAAAGGTGGAGCAACAATCTTGTTACTGGAGCTAGATCATGCAGACAGAAACGTGTGGAGAATGTTGCACTCACGACTACCGATGTTTCAGAGTCAGGTCCTACCAGTTCTTTTCCAACTGATATAGCTGAGAGCAGAAATCTTGAGGCATTCACAAGCAGGAAACTGGAGGAATCCTCACGTAGCACAAGTTACGAGCATGGGAACATGGACAATTCTCAACAATGCGAAACACCCCCAGGCGAAAGGATCTCAACGATTTACGTGCATTTTCCTAAGACTCTCGAAATAGTTCACTTGGAGAGTTTTAGCAGCAGCATGGGACCCGTTACTAAAGACATAACAGTGACAGGCGGAGAAAATCTACGAGAACTCTACATTTCTGGGAACAATTTGCGTCATTTCTCTGGGACCATCAAAGGATTCAGTGGTCTTGAGATCTTGGACATTTCCTACAACGACTGCTCCGACATTTCCCCAGTGTTTTTCCAGTCCCTGGCAAGCGTGAAAATCCTCAAGATGAGAGGGACTCTGTTAGACAGCATGTTTATGTCCACACACAGCGAGCAGTTGTTCCGATCTCTGACACAACTCAAGTCTCTGGACCTGTCCAACAATCAGCTAAACCTTATGGCCGGAGGCACTTTTCAGAATAACTATCAGCTCCAGACCCTAAACTTAGCAAACAATCGGTTCACAACCGTCCCTGTGGACTTGACTCTTCTCCCCAATCTGACCTACTTAGACCTCAGCGGTAACTCCATTTCCCAACTGGGCGTGAAGGACATGCAGTTAGTCGAACTACACGCTGGCACAGTCACAGAATTCTCCCTTCACCTAACGGGAAATATTATGGTGTGTACTTGCTCCAGTATACAGTTCCTCACCTGGCTCCAGAACACAAAGGTCAACTTGGACAGACCCATGACCTACAGCTGTCTCACGGAGAACGGGACGCTGACCACCACTGCTGACTTCTCTGACGTCAGAGCTCTGTGGCGGAAGTGCCAGGGGCAAACCGCCCTCCTGATCTCTGTTATCCTCCTGTGTCTCATGTCTCTTGGATTTGTGGTGACCATTTTGTGTTGGAAGATGAAAACACGACTCAAGTCTTTCATCTACAGGGTTTTCCTTCAAGGTTTCGTCCTGCACGGCCCACGTGATTACCGACTCGGCGTTTTTATCGGCTACGCTGACGCTGACACCAGGCTGGCCTGCTTCACTCTCAGAGATTTCATCCAATCTCGACTAGGTCTATCTGTCTATGTCAGGGACATTAACCTACTTCCGGCCTCAGATATGGCCGAATCCATCGTGGACGCCGTGAATTCCAGTTGGAGAATTGTCTTACTTGTGACGTCAGATTATCTGGACCGAGAGTTGTGGTCGTATTTCACCATGAAAACAGCTGCCTACACAGTCAGTCCGTCCAACCCGGGCCTGATCGTTGTTCTGTTGGAGGAAACCGTTCGTCACCGGATCCCGGCCTGTCTTCTTCGTGCACTTGAGGAAGACTGCATTCTGTATATCCCTCCCTCCCGACACTTGTCACGTGACATAGAAGACAGGCTGGCTCGGTTACTTCTTCCTTCTCACAGCTATTGATGGTTCCGGCAACAATAGCCGTCGTTGAGAGCACTTAAGGAAGACAGCATTCTGTCTATCCCCCCACCCCCCTTTCCACGATGCGCATCACGTGGGCGCATGCGCAGACTACAAGACTTGCTTCAGACTGAATAGCCAGTTGTCCCAAATTGTTCTGAGAAATTCTGTTAAATGTTCTCTCTCTCTCTCTCTCTCTCTCTCTCTCTCTCTCTCTCTCTCTCTCTTTCTCTCTCTCTCTCTCTCTCTCTCTCTCGTTCTCTCTCTCTCACCCTTCCTTCCTCTCTCCCTCTCTACCTCTCCAACTCTCTCTACCTCTCTTCCTTTCTCCTTCTCTCCCTCAAACTTTCTCTCTCTCTCTCTCTTTCTCTCCCCAACTTTCTCTGTCTCTCTCTCTCGTTCTATATCTCTCACTCTCTCTCTCTCGTTCTCTCTCTTTCTTTCTTTCTTTCTTTCTCTCTTTCACTTTCTTTCTCTCTCTGTCTTTCATCTCCCCCCACTTTCTCTCACTTACTCTCCCACGTCTCTCTATGTATATCTCTTTCTCTCTTTACGTTGTTTGTTTTCCATTCAAAAGCGACCCTTCCTTTGTAACAGTTTTGGTGGATGCCTATACACCAATCTGCAGTTTTGGAGATAATGCTTCCAAGGTACTTTACTCATTCTGCACGAGGTTCTCCATAAACAGTGTTTGGAGTAGTTTCTGATGATAATCGCAGCACTTCTGTTTTGGACACATTAATTACAAGGTCAACTTTTACCGCAGCTCTTGCTAATTCATTTGTCTTTAGTTGCATTTCATGTACTGTGGTATTTCATAGACAATTGCCATCCGCAAAATCTAAAGCTAAATCATATGTGCCATTTGTCCATTCAATGCCTGTTTCACTTTGCTCTGTCTCGTTACAAAATCGATCACGATTCCAAAAAGGACTCGTGATAATATACAACCTTGTTTAAATCTAGCAGTTACTTCAAGATGGGAAGATAGTTTTCCCTTAACAAGGACACAATCGCTTGTTTTTTGGTATATTTTGATCTCATAAACTTATTATTTTTAGTTGGGATGCTATAAATTGCAAAAACTTTCCACAGTGCCTTTCGGTCTATAATGTTACACGCATTTTTATGTGTACAAGTAATGTGTTTGTGTACGCCACTATTTTTTTAAAAAAGAAATCCCCAAGGAGATCGCTGAAGTAGAATTAATTATTTATCAATTTTATTTTTATTTAACACACGCTATTCCAACGGTGCACTGACAAAAACACTGTCGTCAATTAGTCACGACTGTAGTGGCAGTCGAAAGCAATGCCTGATCTTTATCATCTAAGGTCTAGATTGTCGTGCTAAAGACCTAGCTTGTTAAATCTATTACAATCAAACGTATCCTTCATTGGGCTCTAAGACGTGACAAGTGTTATGTAGACAGGGACCGGAAGCGAACTAACTTTTGTGGTGTAGCGAGTTGGCCCTTTGCCGTCGCATGCAGAAGACCCGAGTTCGATTCCGGGACAGGGAGGATATATTATATCGAGAATCTTGGTCTTTCTACCGGAATTTTATATTCCTTTCAGCCCAGTTTGGCACTGACAGGCAGGGTCGAAACTGATCTTCTGAATGATCGATCATATTTGTGTATGTATATATATTTATGAGGGTGTAAAAAAATATAGTTAGGAAATAGAAATTAAGAAAACATTTGAGTTTTGTAGATATATTTTTATTGGGGTTGTGGCGGAATCAGATTATGATAATTTCCACCAAAAAATGTCAAGGACAAATGCTAGAAACCGAACAAAAAAAAAGACCCCACAAACCCCCCACCCACCCCAAGAAAAACACAATAAAAAACACATACAAATACAAATAATAAAAATAAAACCACCACGTAACTAAAACTCGAAGAGAAGAGCTCTCCTACTTCCTTTTGGGAGGTCATGGGGTCACAAGAGATTCAGGCGTTTCTTATGAAGTCATGGGAGGTCATCGGATGTCAGACAGGTCATGCGCTACATCAATAACTTTGTTTTGTTGGAACTGAACACGAGAACAGACGTGAGGGATGTTGGTGTGAGAAGACTTCCGGTCATCTCTGCGGAAATGTGTCTGTCGTAGCGGCGGGAAATCTCCTACAAACTGCAACATAAGTTAAGGACCACATTGACAGACAGCCCTGATTTGTAAAAATCCGAAAAAAAGACGCAAGTAAAGTTACAAATTTGTTTGCTCTGAAAGTGTTAATGAGTTAACAATGCATACTGCACTGCTTCCTAAAGGGGCAAAACCACCACGCGCAGCATGGAAATCCTCGGGGAATTATATCCAAATTTATTGAAAGTGGTCCTCAACTTATGTTGAAGTCTGCATTTTAAAATCTAAGTCGGTGGACATTTTTAAACAAAAGTGTGTGTGAACGTTGTCAGATTTCCTCTGTTCTGTTAGTCTCAGGCAGGAGCATAAATTTCAAGATCTTTCACTGCAACAACCTTTTGGCACATTGGTTGTAAATCAAAGAGACGTTAAGCTTAGGGTGATCTTGTTGTTAGTCTTTTGAGGACTCAAAGTGAAATCTTTTTCTTCTTCTTCTGTATATCAAAAAATTAATATTTGAATCAGCTTCTTTATTGTTGGCAAGAAGAAATCGAAAAAAGACTGTCTTTGATAACTGAATACATTTTTAGCAAGTGTGCTTCTCATTCCGTCCATTTTTTTTAAAAACTGAAAAACAAAAAACAAACAAAACCCAGAAACAAAAGCAAACAAACAATAAAACAAATAATAAAACAAAACTAGCAAACCTTAAAACAAATTCCGAACAAAACAATCAGTATTCGAAATAGAGGGGGCACATTTCGTGGTTATCGACGGGGCGAATTTTCATTTCCACGAAGGTGATTGGGTCGGAATAGCCAGACCAATCCAAGCCGTCAGCTTTGTTGACGTGGGTGGCCCAGCGTCCGTTCGGGTTGACCAAGTTACATGATGTGGTATACCACCATCCTGCGTGGTACTGGTCCGCGCAGTGGACATTTTTATTCAGGTCGTTGTCCCTGTCATTGGCAGAGAATGCTTGACCGCTGACGCCGGACATGTGGTCAACAGCGTTACCCCAATATCCGGAAACAAAGATGGTGTAGTTTTCCTTGTTTCCCAACACTCTGAACCGGTCGTAACTGGCGTAGTAGCTGGTATTTTTAGTGATAAAGTCCAACCTCATCTCGTGTCTTTTCTGCGGATGAGAAGGGCAGCTGGAGTTAACTCATAGAGTAGTCGGCTTGTGGTCACGTACACAACGCTGAAAGACAAACTGTTCTGGTGGGATTTCAGAAGAAAAGAAGCATGGCTTCGTTATTTATAGTCATTTTTTTTCCATTTTTTTTTTGTTCTGACCTTTTAGCAACAACGTGTGTACACACACACACACACACACACACACACACACGTTGTTGCTAAAAGGTCAGAACAAAAAACAAAAATTGAA